ATACAGGCAACAATCTCATCCCAAGCTCGTGCTGCGCGCAGAGCGACGGGATCCTGGTTCTGTCCTCTCTTCTTCCCTAGTCTTAATACTTGTTTGATCATGGTCTTGACATCATTTTCTTCGAAAGACTTCATAACCAAGTACCGGCGCTTCAGCTCGTCAGTCTCTTCGCCGAGGTGCCACTTCTCATCTTTCGTGAGCTCAGAAAGGTCAGCTGTCTGGAGCCGTTTTTGCATCTCCCGCAGAGTGAAGGGATTGCGGGGCGCATCGAGTGAAAGGACGCGCTGCTCGAATGCAAGACTTTTCCCGGACGTCTTTCCGCGATAGAAATCGCGGAAGTTGTCTCTGGGAACGACCAAGTAAATAACAATCTTGGTGATGCTGAGACCCTTTGCAGCCTCCTCCAAAGCGTCAACATCGAGGGTGTGTCTTGCACTGTGGGTGATCTGGAAGCATGTCATGACGCCGTCCTTCGGGGTATGGGAAAAACCAGGAGCACAAACCGCAAGCACTGCTCATCAAGAACATGCACTTTGACACAACACATTCTGTTCGGGTCCTGAACAGGAGCCAGGCATGAATCAATGACCGGCAGGCCCTCATCTCTGGGCCGCATGTATCGTGGCTGCCCGGTGGTGGCAGCTTTGAAAAGATCGGCGATGCTGCCGTCCACGACTTCTACATCGAGCGGTGGAAGCCGCATCTCGAACATGGGAACGGTGACGTTGGCCATTTGCGTCAGCAGCAACGTGCCCCGGAAGAGCACTTGGTGCGCGAGGCGTTCGTAGAGAACTCCGAGGACGGGCTTGGCAAGCGGGGCAAACGTTGTCAAAAGGTCAGCCAGTTCCGTCTCATACTCTTGAATGGTCAGGTCTAGTGCCTCTTCGCTAACAAACTCAACCCTGCTCTTGGTGCAACCGTTTTCTGGTACTAGCTGGAAGAGCAAGTGCGCGGGCTTCAAATCGCGTCCCATATCAATGACGCCCGATGTCCAAACTCGCCTGACCAAGTTCTGGTTCGACAGCGTATCGTTGCGAGCTTTCTCCACCGGCTCAGGGTCGTCGCAAATCAGGTGCCGAAGAATACCACCAAATCGCCTGTAGCGCTCGTCCACCTGGTTCTCGTTCAATTCGGGACGGAGGAACTTGACTATGCACCGGGCCTCCTGCAAGCTGCACGCGGCCATGTACAAGTACTGTAGGTTGGGAATCTTCTTCCACTCTCCAAGGTGCTGCGGATCAGGTGAGGGGGCGACGACAGTCTTGGCCTCCACAAAACAGATGCCTCCGTTGTCGGCCGCGCCGGGGTCGATGACGTAGTAGTTCGCAGGGTCTTTCAGCTCATCACACGCTCCCGGCTCCCAGTCTTTCTTTGTCATGCTGCCGACCTCGTAAGTGCCGTCGGCGTGAGGCTTGAACAAGTACGCCCTGTTCCACCTGCGTGCTTCGAAGACAAAGGTCTTACTTGCGTTCATGAGGGCACGCAACAAGAAGGACATGGAGAAGGACTTGCCGATGCCGGGTGAGCCGGTCACCACCACATCCTGCAGCGCGTTGAAGGCCGCCTGCCAGACCTCTCGTTGCTGCCTGCGAACGAAGAGCCATGGGTTGGCTTCTTTCGGAACCAAGCTGATGTTCAACGGGAAGATCTCGACACCGGCAGCTTGTGCGGACGCTACATCGGTGATATTCTCATCGGCACAGTTCGAAGCCGTCAGTGGCTGAGCCATGCGCAGCTCGTTGGCGGAAATGTTCTACAAGCGCTGGGAGGAACGCTTCGTGATCGAAAATGGGGACGATACTGAGCCAAGTGGTGGGCAAGATCCTGGGCGGCGGCCCGGT